CCAGACGTACAGGCGGCTCACACGAGCCAACGTCTTGTGGAAGCCCATATGACCGGCAGCTGCCTGGTCATGGAACTCTGCTACTGCTCGGACACGTAGCTGTCCAGTGGAGGGAACACAAATACGGGGCTCTCTGGTGCCCTGTGAACCGTGCCAGTACACAAGACCRTTGTCCCCGAGAGAGTAGTTCGGGACGGTATTGCCACTCCGAAGGGTCGCGTGGATGTCGCGATAGTCGGGGCAGTGGCGGTATTGAGTGCGAAACTCGGCGATCACCGAGTGGTGGACGGTGCTGACCGAGATGGAAGAGAGCTGGATGTGCTCCTGGTCGTGGTCAGGGCACCGGGATAGGGCATCTGCGACCCGATTAGTCTCACCCTTGATGTGCTYAGTGGTGAAACTAAACTCGGATAGGTCGCGCCACCAGCGAGCCTGTCGAGGAGTGAGCTTCGGCTTTGTCAGAAAAGCCTGGACAACAGAGTTGTCCGTGCGCACCGTGAATGGTGCCCTGTGCAGGTAGTGATGCCAGTGCCGAGCGGCATAAACTACTGCGAGAACCTCACGTTCATCAGCAGTGTAGTTTATCTCGGCGGGCAGGAGCTGAGGGGAGTAGAAGGCTATCGGACAATCACCTGAGCGAGACTCGACAGTGCCGTCCTCGGCGATGGTAGGAGAATAGTCTACAGCGAAGTCTGACGCATCGATGGTAAGGATAAAAGGGCGGTCAAAATCGGGTAGGTGAAGAACCGGTGCGCATGTCACCGCCTTCTTGAGGGCGCGGAAGGCGTCCTCGTGGAGGGGTATCCAAGCCCAGGGTGGGTTCTTCCGGAGGAGAGTGGAGGTAAGGACATAGGAATACCTAGCGTATCCCCGGATGAAGTTACTATAGTAGCTCGTCAGGCCTAGGAAGCTGCGAAGCTGCTTGGCGAATGTGGGAGCGGGCCACTCCGCAATAGCAGTGATCTTCGCGTCGTCCATGTGGAGACCTTGGTCAGACACGTACTGTCCTAAGAAATCCACTTTGTGCTGGGCAAAGCGACACTTGCTTAGCTTGGCGTAGAAGCCATGTCTGCGCAAGCGGTCAAGGACGTCGCGGAGGTGTCTGAGGTGCTCCTCAAGGGTACGACTATAGACCAGGATATTGTCGAGGTAGACGAGAACGTACTGCTCCAGGATGTCCCTGAAGATGTCGTTCATCGCCCTCTGGAAGGTAGCGGGTGCGTTGGTGAGGCCGAATAACATCACCGTGAACTCGTAGTGGCCGAATCGCGATCGGAACGCGGTCTTCGGCTGGTCGGCTGCAGCGACGCGGATCTGATGGTAACCGCTACGAAGATCAATCTTCGTAAAGAAGCGGTTGCCTGTTAGGCGGTCGAACAGATCATCGGAACGAGGCATGGGGTAGCTGTTCTTAACCGTGAAGCGGTTGAGGCCGCGGTAGTCGATGCAGAGACGAAGAGTTCCATCCGCTTTGCGAGCAAAGAGGACGGGTGCACCCCACGGGGAGTTGCTGGGATTAATGAAACCCAGTCTCATGAGCTCCTCAAGCTGATGCTTGAGTTCGGTGGCCTCGGGGATCGAGAGTCTGTAGGGTGCCTGGTGGTGAACACGATAGTCAGGCACGTGCTGAATGGAGTGCTCGACGTCACGCATCGGTGGGATGCCGGCGTACGAGAATGACGATGGGAAAACGTCGTGGTACTCTCGGATGAGGTCACGAACTGAGGGCTCCAAGTCAGCCGTATATCGTGCGAGTTCCTCAGCGTCAACGTCAGCGCGCGACGGCGGGGTGGACTCGACGGACGGCGGAGGGACGGAAGTAGAGATGGGAGCCATGGAGATAGAGGGAGGATCTGGCTCCAGAGGGATGAGCTCGGTGTCGGGACAGGGTGGATCATAGTGTAAGAGATCCGTCACGTCCACCATAAAGAAGGTGACATCGTCCTGTCGAATGAAGTGAGCGAACTGCCGAGGCGAGGTGACAGTGATAGAGGGAGATGGTGTAGGCACTGAAGGCTCCGGGGGAGGAGGATCGGGGCGTGGTGTCGCCGTGGTACCTATGAAAGGTACGCGGTACGTTTGTCCACACTTCGTTTTGAGAACGAGAGTGTTGATCGCCCAATCGGCCTCGGTGCTGCAGAACCGACGAGACCACGGAGTGCCAAGAATGAAGTCGTGCCCCGTCTCCATCACATCGAAATGTGCAGAGGAGCGGTGGCGACGAGACGCCGGGGAACGCTTAGTCGGCTCGAGAGTGAGGAAGAAGGGGAGGCCGGTGACCGTCTGATCGAAGAAGCGCTGGGTCTTGTCATCCCCTAGGGTAACGGAGATGGGAGTCGGAGACCCTGTCGTGGGTAAGCGGGCTTCCTTCACCACGCGTGGGTGAAWGAAGTCGCCCTGAGAACCGGAATCCCACAGCGCTGAGTACACCCTCGTGGAGGTCACGAGTCGTACAGGGATGATCGGGAGGGTGCGATAAGGGTCAGAGAGGATGGCGAGAAGGCGACGCAGTGCAGCGACATGGAGGGTGAGTCGCTCCTGACGAGGCTGGAGCATGCTAAAGTCCAGAAGAGAGGACACAACGTCCTCGCGAGTAGCAAGTTGCTCTCTGCAACGGGCTGATCGAATGGCTCGACGCGTCGGTAGTCGCGGCGGGGGAGGAGGGGAGACGGTGGTCTGCGGAGGCGCAGACGGTACTGCGACAGAGGGCTGAGTACACTATGTCGAGTCCTGCGATACCTCAACTCCAGTAGCGAGAGGGGCGAACCGCGACGGAGATGTTGGGAAGCCCACTACTGAGGAGGGCRSAGGTGTACACTWCACYSTGGCTAGGAGGCGCCGCGGGGACGTGAGGCGCCGGGGGGGGACTGAGCACGACGCTGACGAGAAAGGTCAGCGTAGTGGCGGTCGAGGGCGGTAGTGTAAGGGCACCGCGAGGAGGTATGACCGTCCAAGCAGCAGCGCAAACACCCACGCCGGCCCAGAATAGCCGCGCGCTCCTCAGGGGAAAGGACACCACGAGGAGGGACGAAGCCCTGAGGGAGGTCATCCTGAGGGACCTCGGGGGGCGATGCGCCAGCGTGACCGGGGGGGCTGCGTGCCCGAGAGAGGGCAGAGAGCGCGAGCTGAAGGCGCTCAGCTGCAGGGAGGGTAGAGTCCTCCAAGTGATAGTGGACGGCCTCGCAGAGATCGAAGTCGTCGCTTTGGTCGCCCTCAGATGACAGTGGGGCAATAACGTCCTGCTCACCATACTCCAGCGCGCAAAAGCGGCGCGAGAAGTGGCGCGAGAAGTGGCGGCTCTGCTGCGTGGAACGGCGGGGGCGACCACGGAAAGGGGAACGGCGCTGGGAAGTGCCGTGAGAGGCCCGTGCGCTGGGGCTGGGAGGAGGAGGCGGGGTGAAGACGGGCTCGCATCCGCTGGTGGTCCCTGGCGGCCTCGTAAGCCTATGGGGCCAATGTGAACTCGTACCGCCATAGCTCGGAGCGGTACTCGAGCGGAAGGCTGGCCAAGAAACGATCGATAAGGGCATCCTTGGGGAGGAACGCCACGTCGCAAACGAGGCGGGCGTCCTGAAAGACCTGGATGTGGCGATCCAGGCCAGCAGCGCCACCAGAGTCGGACCAGCGTGTAGTGACGACACGCTCGAAGGCGTCAGTCACGTCGTATCGGGCTCCGAAGCGATCCTCGAGGAACGCCTGGAAATCCACGAAGGTCGGAGTCCGACCCTCACGAAGGGAGTAGGCATAGAAATCCTCCCAGGCCTTGAAAGGACCGCCACGCAGGTGCGTGGAGAGGTGACCCACCCACGTCTCGGGTGTGGCGCCCATGAGCTGGAGTGTGCGGGTGGCAGACTGCAGCCACCGAGACACGCGTATGCATGTACCGTCATACAAGGCAATGTCCGACAAGCGGATGAGTAGTGCGCCACCGTTTTGGCGGCGAGGGGATCGAGGAGCGGAGGCCTGTGCCACGGCTGAGTAAGTCGGCGCAGGTCCTGGAGAAAGGGGCGCAACTGACTGTGCGCCCGGGCCGCATGGGGGAGCGGCGGTGGCAACAGCGGCAGGCTGCGAGGGTGCTGCGGTAGAAGAGGTCGCAGCAACCGCGGGAGTAGGAAGAAGGTAGGAAGGAGTTGTATAGGGTGCAGGGCGCGGAAAGCGAGCCTGCATGGGAGGAAGGGTAGAGGAGGTAGGGGGTGCGCCCGAAGGCGAGGCCACCTACGAGGGTGGGGGTGGCTGAAGGCGTAAGAGGGCGAGGTTGGCCCGGAGCTGGGCAATCTCGTCCTCGAGACCTCGAACGTAGGCCGTGCGAGGGGTAGCAGGGGGAAGAGTGGAGGAAGTGGATGCACAAGCGGCGCGGGGCATCCCAGAGGGGGGAGAGCCAGGTGGCGCTG